GTGACGATTTTCTTGTCCGGATCCTCTAATGTGTAGAAAAAAGCCGCTTTTGCAAGCCCCATGTTATGGAATAGGTGCAACCTTTATATCGGCGGAAAGAGGGAATTGAGTTGCAGCCACTACAGCAAGTCTCTAGCATAAACACACAGGGAGCTATTCAATATTAAAAATGACATCACCATGTGACGCACGGGGTGCATCAATCGTCTCTAGGGATTCTTTTAAAGGGATAGTTTACTCAAAAACTATATTTTACTATTTTGTTCATTAGTCCACTGTTAATACAATCCCATAAATAGTTTTCCCAAGAGCACTTAAAGTAGAGAACAAAAATGGCTTTTTCTTCTCTCTCAAGTATTAGACTCCGCTGTCAGGGTCAAAAGTGCAGTGATAACATCATCCTTAATTCACCATTGTCATCATCCCTCTATGGCTACTGAGTAAAGCACGCACTGGCAACGGATTACTTAGCTAACTCTAACTGAAGTAACACCATGGTGACTGAGAAAGGCGGACGAAGTTGGAGCTAATTATTATGGGCTGGCTGGGCTGCTTTTGTTGCACTGTTGTTGGTGAGATACACATTTCTGCGGTGTGTGTATGTGTGTGTGTGTGTGTGTGTGTGTCTGTGTGTGTGTATTAATAAAACATGGGAACAGCCAGATGAAAATCCCAGCACGGTGCCATACGCGTCGTGACTCACTCACTCCTGGGACCAACTGTGCTTTGTTGGCTGGTGCCTTGTGGATTAATGTATTATTTAATATTTTCAAACATGACTTTCATTTGATTAATTATTGAAAGGTAGGGTCATAGCCAAAAAATGGGCTCTGGGGTTGGAGGGGTTGGGGGCGGGAAGGGTTGGTGGGCAGGAGGGGGAATAATTCTGCACTTTGACAACAGCCGTCAGTCTCAGAGTACATACAGTTTAATCCCGGAAGGCAGGGCTTCATAGCTTGGCCCTAGATCTGGGTGTGCCATCTTGTGACAATGGCCATAGGTGATGGAAAGACAGCAGAAAAAAGATCTGGGATCAGGCTTCGTGTTAAAAGGGTGTTCGGCATGTATCGGTAGACTGTTCTAAGGACTGTCTGGGATCAGGCTTCGTGTTAAAAGAGTGTTCGGCATGTACCGGTAGACTCTGTTCTAAGGACTGTCTGGTGTCTGGCACATCACAGGTATCATGCTGAGTGAGTAGTCATGCTGTACTTCGCTCCGCAGGTAATATGACACATTACATTACAATGGAACGATTTGATTAGTGTAATGTTAGCTAGCTACATAGTTGTATTTGTATCAAAGATAAAGGTGTAGTATAGAGAAACTATCGAGGTTAGCTAGCCAGCTACATTCGTTCGCAGCGACACCGTTTTTCAAATAAAGTCAACACCGCAGCCATTGCTAGCTAGCCAACACTACCAGCTAGCAGTACTGTAGCAACTAAATACAATATCCTTTTAGCCAGCTACATTCGTTCGCAGCGACGCCGTTTTTCAAACAAAGTCAACACCGCAGCCATTGCTAGCTAGCCAACTCTACCAGCTAGCAGTACTGTAGCAACTAAATACAATATAATTTTAGCCAGCTACATTCGTTTGCAGCAACGCCGTTTTTCAAACAAAGTCAACACCGCAGCCATTGCTAGCTAGCCAACGCTACCAGCTAGCAGTACTGTAGCAACTAATTACAATATAATTTTAGTCAGCTACATTCGTTCGCAGCGACACCGTTTTTCAAACAAAGTCAACACAGCAGCTATTGCTAGCTAGCCAACACTACCAGCTAGCAGTACTGTAGCAACTAAATACAATATCATTTTAGCCAGCTACATTCGTTCGCAGCGACGCCGTTTTTCAAACAAAGTCAACACCACAGCCATTGCTAGCTAGCCAACACTACCAGCTAGCAGTACTGTAGCAGCTAAATACAATATAATTTTAGTCAATGAGAATTTTGCAACATAAAGCTTCCCTTTCTGAACATTCGAGATGTGTTGTCCACTTGTGTAGCTAGCATGACTGACTTGGTGCTAGCTAGCCAACGTTTAATTATTGCTGCGTTATGAAAGGAACTAGACGGACACGAATGATCTGTTTAGTGTGTTAACACACTATTGGTAGTTTGTTGTAACCAAGTATTGGTGCTAAACCGTGTGTTATTGGATGCTAGCATGCTAGTTAGCTATGGCGTCATAGGATACGGTGCCCTGGGCGGTTTTCATGGAAGAATACTGTACCAAGTTAGCTAGCTGAATAAAGTAAGTTAGAGTCTATTCCTAGAAACATTGAACCGCTGTAGTTTACAACAATTATAATTTCTAAAGTGGAAGTTGGGAGAGTTATATTCGGGTGTTTCAGTGAAACAATTATAGTTTCTGAGGTGGAAGTTGGGAGAGTTATATTTGGGAGTTGTGGTGAGGGAGGCCCCGCTCTCTCCTTTCCCAGATGTTTAGTTCAGTTCATTCCGATCTCCTCTGCATTATTGTAGCCATTTGCTGCAGCCTGTCAACTATGCCTCTGCCTATCCCTGTTCTCTCCTCTCCGCACAGGCTACACAAATGCCTCACACCGCGTGGCTGCTGCCTCTCTAACCTGGTGGTCCCTGCACGCACCACCCACCTGGAGTTCCAGGTCTCAGGCAGCCTCTGGAACTGCCGTTCTGCTGCCAACAAGGCAGAGTTCATCCCAGCCTATGCTACCCTCCAGTCCCTCGACTTCTTGGCGCTGACGGAAACATGGATTACCACTGAAAACACTGCTACTCCTACTGCTCTCTCCTCGTCTGACCATGTGTTCTCGCATACCCCGAGAGCATCTGGTCAGCAGGGTGGTGGCACAGGAATCCTCATCTCTCCCAAGTGGACATTCTCAATTTTTCCCCTAACCCATCTGTCTATCTCCTCATTTGAATTCCATGCTGTCACAGTCACTAGCCCATTTAAGCTTAATATCCTTGTCATCTATTGCCCTCCAGGTTCCCTTGGAGAGTTCATCAATGAGCTTGACGCCTTGATAAGTTCCTTTCCTGAGGATGGCTCACCCCTCACAGTTCTGAGGGATTTCAACCTTCATTCGTCTACATTTGACTCATTTCTCTCTGCCTCCTTCTTTCCACTCCTCTCCTCTTTTGACCTCACCCTCTCACCGTCCCCCCCTACTCACAAGGCAGGCAATACGCTTGACCTCATCTTTACTAGATGCTGTTCTTCTACTAATCTCACTGCAACTCCCCTCCATGTCTCCGACCACTACTTTGTATCCTTTTCTCTCTCGCTTCTATAGTAAGTAGTGTAGTATGGTTATAGTAAACTGTAGTATTTTTTCATGTGGGCACACACAATTAAATATGCATTAGATACTTGCATGCGTGAAGACCGTGCACTGTGTGCAACCACATGTAAATGCATTAAAGTAGTTAATGTATGTATTGTACACTTCACTAGGCCCACATCTTGCACACAACTCAGCATGGCAACACAGTTAAAAATGTATATTTTTAGATGCCATGTAGCGTTTGAGAGGATACATTTAGTTCCAAAATGCATTTTCTCTTTTTACTTTCAAATGATCTATGAAAAGTTTACATTTTGAGAAAAACATCACTTTTCAATGTATGTTTATACTGTATGTATGTGTGTGTGTGTGTGTGAGAGAGAGAGAGAGAGAGAGAGAGAGATAGAGAGGGGGGGGGAGGAAGCAATGGACAGAGAGAGTTTACGAGGGAGAGAGAGACAGAGAGAGACCTGCTCTTTCCCGTTTCCATGGAAACTCGGGCAGAGCAGAGAAGGAGGAAAAAGGAGGAAAAAAGTGAGAAGTGAGGAGAGTCACTGAGAACAAGGAAAATACATGTATATGGAGTGAGGGGAGAGGGGGATGAAAGATACAGCTAAATAGAGGGATAATAGGATAGCAAATCTAATGTTGATAACATGATACATCCAGTGGGTTTAGTCGCCAACAGTGTTGGACTACCATGTCACATTTTTGAGGAGTTAAATAATTGCTGTTGCTTTTGGCTCACACAGAATAATGATTATGTGCCTGAAATGTTTGAGAATAGGTTTCTACATATCTCCTCCTTTCCCCTCCTTTCCCCTCCTCACCTATACTCCCCCCCCCCCCCCCCCCTACACACACACACACACACTTCTACCCTCCTCCCCTCCTCTCTTCTCTGTGCTGGAGTAGTCAGTAACATGAACAAGGCCACAGCTGTGATGGTTCTGTAGTGTACCCTGACCTCCTACTCAATTGTGCATGCGTGCGTGGATACATGTGTGTGTGTAGCTGTGTGGCTCTGCTCTGTGTGGCTTCATGGAGTATTGAAACAGTTAACTTGTGGAGATGAGGCAGTAAACATGGTTGGGGGGCGTATGTAATTTACACCGTGACATTGCCAGGGCCTTGGCTGTGATCACACGTTAACAAATTGCTGCTTAGATAAGCAAATCAACAGGGACCAGAGAACTGTTTCACTGGGGCTCGGAGGGGCTGTGTGTGTGTGTGTGTGTGTAGGTGTCTGTAGGTGTGTGGGTGTGTGAATGTGTGTATGTGTGTAGGTATGTGTGTGTGTGTATATGTGTGTGTGTAGGTGTGTGTGTGTGTGTATGTGTGTGTGTGTAGGTGAGTGGGTGTGTGTGTGTATGTGTGTAGGTGTGTTTAGGTGTGTGTGTGTGTGTGTGTGTGTGTGTGTGTAGGACACAGTGGGAGAGAAGACCGGGAGAAGGATTGCCTTACTGGCATGGTAAAATGGTGACTGTTTGAGGTAATGTAGCTTCATTTATTCATCACTATTACAATGGAAGTCCCTCAATTGTCAGACGAAACTCGCTCAGTTGTCAGAAAAAATGCTTTCAGTTGTCAGACAGAATTCCTACTATGTCTACACACAGTGGAAGAGGGGGTAGGAAGACCTTACAAGGATTAAAGACTAAAATCAAGGCACTATGGCCTCCTCCAAAATCCGTCACACCAATATTAGCAAAATAAAACGTTATTACCTGATCGCCCATCCCGTTGGAAGTCCACGTGGTACCACTCCCCATCGTTGACCTTCTTGTTGACCGCTCTGGTCTTGGTGGTGCCTGATCCCATGTCGAGAAGTAGATACAGGTGGCCGTCCAGCATCTCGATGGCAAAGAAGTCCACCTTCAGCGTCAGGGGACTCTTGGAATCCTTCAATTAAATCAAATCATTATTTATTTAAAGTGCATTTAAAAGCACAACACACTTTATAGTAAAACATTTTGAAAAACAATCAGGAGGCAATAAAAGAGATGAATAAAATAACATAATAGTGAAGTCACCTTGGGTGCCTGTTTGGGCTTGCCGTGGCTGAAGAGGAGAAGCCCGTTGGGCTCTGTGGTGCGGAAGTCAAAGGAGATGGAGCCCGTCTTCTTGGCGTTCCACTTGTTGAGCGTGATGAAGGACCCGGGGGTCTCAAAGGTGATGGGATCAAGGGTCGCCACGTTCTCGCATTTAAAAGCCACAATGCCGTGAACCTTCATTTTGGCATCACCCTGTTTGGCCATCCTGGAGAGCTCGAGTCGCACGTCGTTGTTTTTATACACAACCTAGGTTGATGGAGGGAGGAAAAGGGAGGTGTAAGGGAGAAAAAGTTCATCCATACGGCCAAAAGTAGTGCACTATACAGTATAGGAAAGGGTGTGCCATTTCAGACACAAGCAATGTTTGGAAGTGTATGACTGGAAATTGACACTGCCATTTTGTATGTACCCCATGTTTGGGTGTGTGTGTGTATGTCAGAATTCTGTTTGCAGAACTAAACCCCCCCCCCCAAGCCAAAACATCACCTCAGTCGAAATACAAACACATAGCCTATTAGCTATACAATTAGCTGCTACACATTAACTCACTACTGGGATTGAAAAATGTAATTTAATACTCACAGAGGGAGACATTTTTGCAGTTTAAAGCAAATTTCCTGCAATTCTAAACATTTTACCATGACTTATGCCATGTTAATATGATATCTGAGTGAGAGTAACTAACAAAATCAATTGTGGCACCCTGGAGGTCAGGGCCCCTGTCGAAAAAATTACAGAGGTCCGGACCTCAGTGTCCTCATAAGTAGTTATGTCCCTGGTAGGGAGGTAGGTAGGGTGATGTGTGGAGGGAGGTAGGTAGGTAGGTCAAATCAAATCAAATCAAATCAAATTTTATTGGTCACATGCGCCGAATACAACAGGTGCAGACATTACAGTGAAATGCTTACTTACAGCCCTTAACCAACAGTGCATTTATTTTAAACAAAAAAGTAAGAATAAAACAACAACAAAAAAGTGTTGAGAAAAAAAGAGCAGAAGTAAAAAATAAAGTGACAGTAGGGAGGCTATATATACAATAGAATAAAGTGACAGTAGGGAGGCTATATATACAGGGGGGGTACCGTTGCATAGTCAATGTGCGGGGGGCACCGGCTAGTTGAGGTAATATGTACATGTGGGTAGAGTTAAAGTGACTATGCATAAATACTTAACAGAGTAGCAGCAGCGTAAAAAGGATGGGGTGGGGGGGGCAGTGCAAATAGTCCGGGTAGCCATGATTAGCTGTTCAGGAGTCTTATGGCTTGGGGGTAGAAGCTGTTGAGAAGTCTTTTGGACCTAGACTTGGCACTCCGGTACCGCTTGCCGTGCGGTAGCAGAGAGAACAGTCTATGACTAGGGTGACTGGAGTCTTTGACAATTTTGAGGGCCTTCCTCTGACACCGCCTGGTATAGAGGTCCTGGATGGCAGGGAGCTTTGCCCCAGTGATGTACTGGGCCGTACGCACTACCCTCTGTAGTGCCTTGCGGTCAGAGGCCAAGCAGTTGCCATACCAGGCGGTGATGCAACCAGTCAGGATGCTCTCGATGGTGCAGCTGTAGAATTTTTTGAGGATCTGAGGACCCATGCCAAATCTTTTTAGTCTCCTGAGGGGGAATAGGCTTTGTCGTGCCCTCTTCACGACTGTCTTGGTGTGTTTGGACCATGATAGTTCGTTGGTGATGTGGACACCAAGGAACTTGAAGCTCTCAACCTGTTCCACTACAGCCCCGTCGATGAGAATGGGGGCGTGCTCAGTCCTCTTTTTTTTCCTGTAGTCCACAATCATCTCCTTTGTCTTGGTCACGTTGAGGGAGAGGTTGTTGTCCTGGCACCACACGGCCAGATCTCTGACCTCCTCCCTATAGGCTGTCTCATCGTTGTCGGTGATCAGGCCTACCACTGTTGTGTCGTCGGCAAACTTAATGATGGTGTTGGAGTCGTGCCTGGCCATGCAGTCATGGGTGAACAGAGAGTACAGGAGGGGACTGAGCACGCACCCCTGAGGGGCCCCCGTGTTGAGGATCAGTGTGGCAGATGTGTTGTTACCTACCCTTACCACCTGGGGGCGGCCCGTCAGGAAGTCCAGGATCCAGTTGCAGAGGGAGGTGTTTAGTCCCAGGATCCTTAGCTTAGTGATGAGCTTTGAGGGCACTATGGTGTTGAATGCTGAGCTGTAGTCAATGAATAGCATTCTCACGTAGGTGTTCCTCTTGTCCAGGTGGGAAAGGGCAGTGTGGAGTGCGATAGAGATTGCATCATCTGTGGATCTGTTGGGGCGGTATGCAAATTGGAGTGGGTCTAGGGTTTCTGGGATTATGCTGTTGATGTGAGCCATGACCAGTCTTTCAAAGCACTTCATGGCTACAGACGTCAGTGCCACGGGTCGGTAGTCATTTAGGCAGGTTATCTTAGAGTTCTTGGGCACGGGGACTATGGTGGTCTGCTTGAAACATGTTGGTATTACAGACTCAGTCAGGGACATGTTGAAAATGTCAGTGAAGACACTTACCAGTTGGTCAGCACATGCTCGGAGTACACGTCCTGGTAATCCGTCTGGCCCTGCGGCCTTGTGAATGTTGACCTGCTTAAAAGTCTTACTCACATCGGCTACGGAGAGCGTGATCACATAGTCGTCCGGAACAGCTGGTGCTCTCATGCATGCTTCAGTGTTGCTTGCCTCGAAGCGAGCATAGAAGTGGTTTAGCTCGTCTGGTAGGCTTGTGTCACTGGGCAGCTCGCGGCTGTGCTTCCCTTTGTAGTCTGTAATAGTTTTCAAGCCCTGCCACATCCGACGAGCGTCAGAGCCAGTGTAGTATGATTCAATCTTAGACCTGTATTGACTCTTTGCCTGTTTGATGGTTCGTCGGAGGTCATAGCGGGATTTCTTATAAGCGTCCGGGTTAGAGTCCCGTTCCTTGAAAGCGGCAGCTCTACCCTTTAGCTCAGTGCGGATGTTTCCTGTAATCCATGGCTTCTGGTTGGGGTATGTACGTACGGTCACTGTGGGGACGACATCATCGATGCACTTATTGATGAAGCCAGTGACTGATGTGGTGTACTCCTCAATGCTGTCTGAAGAATCCCTGAACATGTTCCAGTCTGTGCTAGCAAAACAGTCCTGTAGCTTAGCATCTGCGTCATCTGACCACTTTTTTATTAGCCGAGTCACTGGTGCTTCCTGCTTCAGTTTTTGCTTATAAGCAGGAATCAGGAGGTAGGTAGGTAAGTAGGGAGGTATGTGGAGGGAGGGAGGTAAGGAGGTAGGTAGGGAGGTGTGTGGAGGGAGATATGTAGGTAGGTAGGGAGGTGTGTGGAGGGAGGTATGTAGGTAGGTAGGTAGGTAGGTAGGTAGGTAGGTAGGTAGGTAGGTAGGTAGGTAGGTAGGTAGGTAGGTAGGGCAGTGTGTGGAGGGAGGGAGGTGTGTGGAGGGAGGGTGGGAGGGAGGCAGGGAGAGAGGGAGGGAGGGAAGGTGGGTGGGTGGGTGGGTGGGTGAGTAGGTAGGTAGGTAGGTAGGTAGGTAGGTAGGTAGGTAGGTAGGTAGGTAGGTAGGTAGGTAGGTAGGTAGGTAGGTTGTGTGGAGGGAGGGAGGTGGCTAAGTGTGTGTGAAGTGAGAGATGGGAGTGATGAGAGCTAACAGCTGTACACGATGCAGGTGTTGCAGTAAAAACGCTGATTAAGGCCTCAGCAGGAAACCTGATTAAAATATACCCTGCTGATGATGGATGTGCCTCTCACTACCAATCTACAAACATCTAAATTCCTCAGGCTCCCACACACACACACACCACACACACACACACACACACATATACATAAACACACACACACACACACACACACACACACACACACACACACACACACACACACACACACACACACACACACACACACACACACACAAACACATACACACAAACGCACACCCACTGCCCATGCAATGCATTATCAGACTACACACTGACCTCAAAGACACAATGCACTCCACAGGAGCTGACAGCAGAACTACAGAGTTTACGTTCCAAATTGCACCCTATTTCCTATGTAGTGCACTAATTTTAACCAAGGCCCATTGGGCTATGGTCAAAAGTAATGCACTACAAAGGGAGTAGGGTACTATTTGGGACGCAACCCAGAACAACAGAGCAACAACAGCTAGCCTAAAGCTAAATCAGCACTACTTAATTAAATACCAGGCTATAATGCCATTAAGAAGGAAAAATCCACTAAACACTGATGACAAGCATCATCGTACAGCACCGTACTGCCCTGAATAAAATGTACCAATTTAACAATTGTGCCTACCTGATAAGTTGTATGACGCTGTGTGTAGGTATCTGAAAATATGTGCCAAGTATTGTAAGTGGATACTGACAGACAGTAAGACAATTTGGCATGGTATATATGGGCTCTGGTCAAAAGTAGTGCACTTTGTAGGAAACAGGGTGCCATGTGGGACACATTGTAGAGTAGATGGCTCCCCTGACTGCACAGACTGCATTATCCTCACATTATCTTTAACCACCTCGGAGTTGATTTGTTTTTAGTGAGTACACACCATTAGAAACAGGGAGAGCTGCCAAGACATGGTAGAAGAAGTGATCATTATAAATGTGTTAATGACTTAATCTATGAGGATTTCTGTAAATATAGTTTCTGACTGCATCTGTAAGGGTTTGTGTGAATACAGTTTCTGACTTAAAGGCATACTTTGGGATTTTGGCAATGACGCAATTTATCTACTTCCCCAGAATCAGATGAACTTATGGATAAAAATGTTTTGGCTCTACATCCAGTATGAAGGAAGTTAGAGGTAGTTTTGCGAGCCAATGCTAACTAGTGTTATCACAATGACTGGAAGTCTCTGGTATTTACAGTACTAGCATTCTAGCAGTTACCATAGACTTCCAGTCATTGTGCTAATGCTAGTTAGCAATTGTGCTAACGCTAGTTAGCAACTTCCTTTAAACTGCACGCAGAGACATACAAATGGTAAATACATAAATACTGTCTAATACACTACACTACACTACCCTATACTACACTCACTACACTGTATTACACTACACAATATTACACTACACTATATTACACTATACTACACTATTGAACACTATATTACACTACACTATATTACACTACACTAAATTACACTACACTACATTATATTACACTACATTATATTACACTACACTACACTTAT